CACACACACACACACACACATACCGGTTTGTGGGAGTGGTCCGACATGCTAATAAGATTGGAAGCATCCATGCTTTGACATCCTGCAAACAGCCAAACACAAAAGCAAGCACGACTTTTGTTAGAGCCAGTGCCTCCCCCACTTCCCACCCTCACTTTAACACCGTCCCATCAATCAATCAATCAGTCAATCAATCAATTGATCCATCCATCGATCGATCGATCGATCAATCAATCAATCAGTCAGTCAGTCAGTCAATCAATCAATCAATCAACCGATCAACTGATCAATCAACCAACCAATCAATCACCTAAGTTGGTTGATTGATTGATTGATTGATTGATTGATTGGCTGATCACAGTTACGGAAACCTGTCAGACACCTCTCCCTCATCCCGCCAGTCCCCCCTCAGTTGACCCTCCCTCAGTCCCCACTCCCTCATCCTGTCACACCCCAATCCCCCATCCTGTCAGACCCGCCTCCCTCATCCTGCCAGACCCCACTCCCTCATCCTGTCAGAGCCCCCTCACTCGGGCCCCTGCCCCCATTTTAATGAAGATTCGCATTGAAGAATGAAAAAAAGAAAAAAGGTGGGAGAGAGAGAGAGACCCATTCCTAGTTCCATCAGACCTTCCTTCCTCGTTGCCCTGCCCCTCCACCTCATAATCAAGAAAGGAAAAAAAAACTGAAAAAAGTGTGCGAGAGAGAGAGAGACCCCCTGTCCCGTCAGCACCTGTGGCATACTGCGTAGCCACACGGGCCCTGCAGGGCCCGTCCCGGACATTCAGCCTAAAAGCCTAAAACTTAGGGCTTACAGGCCCCGGTTGTTTCAGCCTGAAAGCTGAAAAACGAGGGCCTGCAGGCCCTACCCCGTTTCAGCCTATTTCTGGGTCTTTTCAGACCCAGAGTTTTCAGCCTGAAACGGAGGGCCATTTTCAGGCCCTCATTGTTTYGACCTGCCCCTAAGACTCAGGCAYRYAAACAGGGATGCGGAACAGGCCAAGAATAGCCTGTTCCTCACGTGCKCGAGCAGGAGCTGCAGCTGCAGCCCCTGCCTGCCTTCGGCATTGGCAAGAGCAGCCTCCTGGACTGCTCGCACGAGTCAGGAGGCACACCCGAGAAGTACGTAGGACTGTCCTAGGCACTTCACGGGTAGGTAGTTCAGTAGGCACGAGGTAGTCTTCAGGATTTCGGCCGCAGCACGCAGGAGGAGCGCTGCAGTAGTCTTCAGCGCTAGGTGGTATTAGCGCTAGCTGTAGTCTTCGGCGCTGGGCGCCATAGCTGTAGTTGTAGTCTTCAGCGCTGGGCGCTGGTAGGTGGTAGATCGTAGAGTGGGAGAGAGACTGGCGGAGGCCAGTGATACTTACCTGTGGCGCCATCGCTCCAGCTCCATCTTTGTGGTACCTGCATCAAGGCGCCAACTTCACAGGTTAGTACTGGACATGGAGAGAGAGAGAGAGTTCTTCTTCTTCCTCTTCTAAGTCCACCATCTCTTCTCACCCTCTCGCCACCTGACTTCTTGGACTACGACAGAGAGAGACAGAGTTGTGACTTGAGACTTTACGACATTGGATCCAGACTTGACATTTGGGATTCAGACATTTCGACGAGGGACTATTTGGGCTTATGCCGAAGACTTGGTGTTGACGATATTCCCATCTTCCCCCTCCTCTTCGTCTATCCCCTTCCTCTTCGTCTGTGTATGGTATGGGCTGGCGCAGTCTTCCTGTGTGAAGCGCCAGGCCCCGTTCACACTATGTAACGATGATGATGATGTATGTTCAGGGCTGCATTGCAACATTGATTGTTCGGATCACTGGTATCTAAGTCTTCCGTTGTGCTATCTTATACTTTGTATTGAAAGGTCGGTTCTTGTTCTGGTCTGCACGTTACAGTATGCAACAGCACCCCTCTCCCTCGTCCCGACGCAACCCCTCTTTGTCGTCGCATCGGTCCCCCTGTCCCGTCAGCACCCCCTCCCTCATCGCCCTTCCCCTTCCTTGTCCCGTCAGACCCCCTTTCCTCATCGCCCTGCCCCTTCCTAGTCTCATCAGACCCCCCTCCCTCGCCACCCTGGGCTCCCCCTTTTAATGGAAACGAAAAAAAAGAAAAATTGAGAGAGAGAGAGAGAGAGAGAGAGACCCTTTCCTAGTCCAGTCAGACCCCCCCACCCCTTCCTCACCCTGTCAGACTCCCTGTCCTGTCAGACCCCTCCCTCATCCCAACACACCCTCTTCATCATCGCGTCAGAATCCCGTGCCTTCAGCACCCCCTCCCTCGTAGCCCTGCCCCCCTTTGAATGAAGAACAAAATAAAAAAAATAAGCAAGAGAGAGAGAGAGAGAGAGAGAGAGAGAGAGAGAGACTGACCTCGTTGGTGGCTGTCTCCTTCGGACGACATCGATGGCCTCCTGGGCGATGGCAACCTCCTTCGAGCGATGGCGACCTCTTTCAGCGGGTAGTGGCAGCGGACGATGGCGAAGGAACTTCAGCGATGCGTTCCTCCCACTGTGTGGACGGCTAAGTTCGAAAACTGAAACTGAAAACTCCCACCAACGGGAGAAGCGTTCCTCAGGGCTAGAGGGGAATTCAGTGCTTTGGAAGTTCAGGCCCTTCAGGGCCAGTCTGGTTGGGGCGCCCGTTTGACAAAAAACATAGCAACAATTTTACGGGGTCCCCAGGCCATGGAAATTGGCCTGAGGACCCCCAAAATATTTGAAAAGAGGTCTGACCGGACGTACCGAACCGTACACCGGACGCGGACATCCCGACCCAGACTGTCTGGATGGGGAGCCAGACATCCGGTTGGCAACCATGAAAAATACCATTTATGTTACTTAGACGAGAGATTTCAGGTTCTGAAGATAAGGAAGATCAGGAATGTATCGAGGCTTTAGTTAGGATATTAGTTAGAGAAACTAGTTAGGGTGGTGATGAGATGATGAAATTGGTAGTCAGATTGATGATTAGGTGGTGATTGGATGATTAGGTGGTGATTGGATGATTAGATAACGATTAGATAATTCAGTGAAGGGGGGAAATGAAGTGGAAAGATGTGATGGAGAGACGATCCAACCCCCTCCTATATCCAACCTCACACACCTTCATGATGAAGATGATGAAAATGATGCCGACGTCACTGATGATGATGAACTTAGGGTGTCCCCAAGCGATGCTGATTGAGTAAGACTATCCAGACGGTGAGCAGGTGATGAAAAAATCCCCAAGTAGAAGCCGAAATTTTGGTGCTGCTTGGATTTCTCCACTCACTGCCTCCTGACAATCCTCCTCCCACTTCCCGACACACCCTCCACTTCTTCCCCTTGCGGCAGCTGACCTCCCTCCACTATAATTTGCGAGATAAAGAGAGAGTGATTACTCTAGAGACTAAACCTTAATTCAAAGCAAGCCCCCCTCCATCCGGCATGCAAGCCTGGAGCATCACTCAGATGGAGCACGAAGCAGAGAGATGGCGCTTGTGTGCTTTCAAAAACTGGGAGCCAGCAAGTGACGCGTTTCAATCTTCCTTCTCGCGGGCCAGTCACATGATCTCACATCTCATCAATCTGCCGAGATTAAGCCATGCCCGCCAGCTTGAGATGCCTGCATTGCCGCCAGAGCAGCGGCGGGCGTGGCGGCATGACCAGTCAGCATGCGTACTCCAACATGCTACCAACCGCGCCGGCCCGCTCGTTAGCTGCGCCCCCAGCAATGCCCGCGTAGCCACCAGCGCCAGCCACGTGCTCCTTCCTACGCTCGTGCCCACTCTGCCAGCCGCTGACACTGCGAAATGTGCTCACGCACACCAGCACCGCGACCCCTGCACGCCTGCGAGCGCACTTGCCAGCAGCGCCCACGAGCCCCACAGGAAGCACACACCCACACCGCCAGCGACACACGTGTCGCATACCGCAACGGTACAGACCAGAACAAGAACCGACCTCTCTCACAAAGTACAAGATAACACAGCGGAAGGCTTAAATACCAATGATCCGAACAATCAATGTTGCCATGCAGACCAAACATACATCATCATCATTCCATGGTGTGAAGGGGCCTGGCGCTCACACAGGAAGAATGTGCCAGTTCTCAACTATACACAGATGAAGAAGAGAGGGTTTAGATGAAGAAGAGGGGAAGATGGGAATGTTGTCAACACCAAGTCTTCGGTACAGTCCCAAATAATCCCTCGTCAAATGTCTGAATCCCAATGTCGAGTCTGGATCCAAATGTCATCAAATCCCAAAGTCACCAATCTCTCTCTTTCTCTCAATCCGGTACTAACCTGTGAAGGTGGCGCCTTGTTGCAGGTACATCGAAGAGGAAGCTGGAGCTATGGCGCCACAGGTAAGTCTCCGTGGCCTCCGCCAACCATCGCTCTCTCTCTCTCTCCAACGCTACTCTGGCTCCTACTAGCGCCCAGCGCTGAAGACTACTGCTAACGCTACTACTACTCCTGCAGCGCTCCTCCAGAGTGCTGCTGCCGACTCCTGAAGACTACCTCCTGCCTTGTGCACGTGAAGTGCCTGGGAAGCTCCTATGAACTGCCTCATGACTCCCTGTAGCCTGTAGGGCGGGCCAGTCTTATATAGTGCTGGCCCGTCCAGGAGGCTGCTCTTGCCAATTCCAAAACGTGCCAGACCCTGGCGTTGAAGTTCAAACAAAGGTTGTCTTGAAAACAGGCCCAAAATGGCCTGTGCTAAAACCCTGGTCTGGTGCCTAAGTTTCGGGGCAGGTCGATCTTATGAGGGCCTGAAAATGGCCCTCCGTTTCAGGCTGAAAAAAGACTCAGGGCCTGTAGGCCCTTGTTTTCAGGCTTTCAGGCTGAAACGACACAGGGCCTGTAGGCCCTCGTTTTCAGGCTTTTAGGCTGAAACGAAAACAGGCCCTACACATACGGACCCTTAGTCTACCTGGTCGGGCCCTGCTGGGCCCGTGTGGTACTGAGTATGCCACACACGCCTGCATGCTGATGCGATGCGCGCATGGCCCACACTCCACATCAGCGGCGCCTCACCCCAGCCGCGTAGCTCTCGCGCCATGATCTCATCAGCTTAGGCTCGCGGGTGTGAAGAACCAACAGGCTTATGTCAGTTGGTACAACCGTGAACTGTTGAAATACAGACCCAAGTTCGAATTCCCATCCAACAAGATGACCAGAATAAAGTCATTCTGAATTACCTAGGGCCGGTCAGTCCAATGATGATATCTCGAAGGCCATTGCCCTTTTTTAAAAAAAAAAAAAAAAAAAAAAAGGAACCAGAAGACTACGAATAGGGCAGTGTTGAGCGGCCGTTCCTTCTCTTCCTCCGTAGTGGTTAGTTTATCATTCCTAATAGAGGGCACGCTGGTGAAAGAACGTGAGAGCCATCCCCCCTACAGAGAACATTAGTATGGACTCTGGTCAAGGGTGATAAAGCAAATCAAAAGATGGACGGAAAGAAAAAGAAGAATTGAACAAACTTGACCGGCTGGTCTCCAGGTACTGTTCAGGGCCAGCTTGAGACCAGACCCAAAATCCAAATGCAATGCGACCGCTTTTGGATCCAAAAACGAAGTCGTGATGATGAGACAGGGTCACTCTTTCTTCCCGCTCTGCGAGGCTAAAAATTGAACAAGCTTGACTTCTGCCTCGAAGCTTCTTGGTGCAGCTCTACCCCAACGGGGGCCTTCCAGATGCAGCGCCCACCAAAGTGATGAAGATGGTATCCACCATAGCCAGGTAAGTACCTCTGGCGCTCCTTCCTTCTTCCACCTATCCTTGCTCTTCCCCAGCAGCGCTGATGCTACCGTAGCGCTGTTCCAGCCAGCGCTCCAACCAGTGTGTTGCCAAACTTGCACACCGACAATGAGGAGGAGCTCTTTTCTCCTCCTGGAGATATAGCCGCCTGTTCGCCTCTTGCCGAGGGACTTCCCAGGCCGCAGGGCCTCCAAGCAACCGGTACCTCCTCCCTTTCAGAGGGAAACATCATTGCAGACTCTGATATTGCCCGTACAGGCCCTAGACTCAGACTGGTTGGACTGTTACCCGCCTAGACCTAGCCTGCAACTACTGCGCCTCTAAAAATGCCAACTTTTGTCTTCTTCTGCTCGGCCTCGAGTACCCGGCACATCTACCTCTACTTGGTGTGGTACCGGCCTACCTGGTACTTTTGTTTTCCGCTGCTTTCAAGTGTCGCAGGCCTCTTTCCCCGCCACTTGAGTGTTTTCCCGGCTGCAACCCTCAATGTCACGGCCACAGGTAGGTAAGTAACGGCGCTTCGGGCCTTCCGAACACAAGTGCCGTTCTGGGTCACACACATGCTCAAGCCGACAAGCACTCAGACAGGCATGCAGATCAACAAGCACACACCCACACAGACTTAGAAAACTCAGCAACAAGTGGGAAACTCAGCAAGGCATACATTCCATGAGCAAAACTCAGAAATCAGCTGTGTGTCTCAGTCCGTGGACATCCATTGAAATTGGAACGATATAGAGAAGATTAGCATGGCCTTTTGAGCAGCCCTTCTGGACATCCGTTAAAACTGGATCGAGAAATGGCCCCCCTTCGCCCCCCAAAAAACAGAACTTTCTGTAAGGTTGAAATACAGGAGGCAGTACCACTGAGAACAACGGTGTTCATGCCAGGAGTGAAATGCACAACGTGATCACTTTCAAGTTTGAACTATGAAGAACATGTGATGGCTGGAAATCGAGGCCATGTCCAGTCATCCAGTTTTGTGAAGCATGTTTATAATCCTTAGATGCATATACAGATGCAACCCCTGTGCAGTTCCTTTTGACCAATAAACAGAGTGCCTGTGTTTGTAGGTGTTGATTGCAGTGGAACAGGGACAGACGGTAACCCACGCACTGACAGTAGCAGTACCAGTAGAAGCTCGAGCGAAGCTGAAGGCAGTTCTACAAGATGTTGCATCAGTTACTGGACAGTACATCGATGTCAAAGTACACTCTTCAACAAAGCCTGGAGTACCTGCCCCAGCTCTTGGCCAATCAAGGCTGGAGAATGGGTCGTCTGAAGAACGAATGGGATCCAATAACTCTCAAGGTCCCGGGCAAGATCTTGGTTCAAGAGCATTAGCAACGTCTGAAATGGGATCCTACAACTCTCAAGGTCCTGGGCAAGGTCTTGGTTCAAGAGCATTAGCAACGACGGAGGTATCTTCTGTAGTTGATGATGGGGACCACACTGCTATCCCTGCCATGCCCCCAGGACCAACGTCAACACTTACAGCAGATGAGACTGGGAAGACAACCACAGAAAGAGCTGGGAACATGCTGGGACTCGTGGACACAACTGAAGAAGTCAAGGCAATTTCCAATAAAGAACCGCATGTGGGGGTGACATTGCTGTCACCCTGTGGAATAGGAGATGTAGAGGTGTTCACAACCACACCTGGATTGGAAGACCTTGGTAAGGAGGATAGGGTCACCACACCTGATAAATGCCAGGCAGAGTTCCAGAATCAACGGCAGCCAGATATAAAATGGAATGGAGAGCAGATTAGGGAAGAAGGGCCTACCTCGACTTCGGCTGCTGCTGCTAACTGCAGCATCAAAATCATGGGGAAGGAGGATGACAGCTGTGATCTGGATGCATCATCCTCTGCTATGGAGGAGGGCAAGACAATGTTACTGAAGGAGCGGCAGCCTCTAATGAATTCCGACGAACCAGTTTCATCAGCTAATCGCATCACAAAGGAGGTGAAAATAGTTGGAAAGAAGTCCAGTCCAGTAAGTGTAAGCCAAGAGGTCACAATTGCTACGTTGGACAAAGGCTCAGTGAGCTCGGGGACTGAACTGCAGCTAGATGCTAGAGAGGGTGGAAATAAGGGCAGTCGAGAAGGACATACCTCTTCTTTAGTTCCCGATGATAGCAGTATGGAATCCTCTGAGAAAGAGGTGAAAATAGTCGCGAAGAAATCTGGTCCAGAAGGTGGAAGCCATGAGGTTACAATCACTACACTGGACAAAGGCCCGGTGATCTCTGGGAGCGAACTGCAGCTAGATCCAAGAGAAGGTGGAAATAAGAGCAGTCAGGAAGGGAATACCTGTTCTTTAGTTGCTGCAGATGATAGCAGTATGGAATCCTCTGAGAAAGAGGTGAAAATAGTTGCGAAGAAATCTGGTCCAGAAGGTGTAAGCCATGAGGTTACAATCACTACACTGGCCAAAGGCCCGGTGATTTCTGGGAGCGAACTGCAGCTAGATCCAAGAGAAGGTGGAAATAAGAGCAGTCAGGAAGGGCATAACCGTTCTTTAGTTGCTGCAGATGATAGCAGCCTGGAAGCCTTGGGGAAACATGCATCTAATGACTCGACTGGTGACAGGCTGGATGTCGAAGACCCTCTTCTTCCACGATCTACAACTTCCCCTTCTGGTACTCTCCCCAGTGTTGCAACCACTCTTGCCACACCCGGTTCTCTTGCTACTTCCCCTGGTCCTCCAGTACTTGTTCCTCCTGCTCCTCCATCTTCTGTGCCCTCTAGTCCCACAGCTGCTCCTCTTGCTCCTCCTCCGCTTCCTCGGCCTGCTGCTCCAGGTCATGTTACTCCAAATGCCACTACTGTGCCTGCTGCACGTGTCCCCTCTTCCGCTGCAACTTCTCCTCCAGTTCCTTCTCCCCCTGCCGTGAGTGTCCCCACCCAGTCACCTTCTACCCCTTCGGCTTTCAGTGCAGTTAGCCAATCCTTTGAGGCGCTCCTGGGTATTGATGATTCCGCACAACATGCAGTCAAGAACGTTCTGGCACTTGTGGATGAATGGATGTCGAATCTCGAGGAGAGAGATGATGGGAAGGTTGTCGCAGAAGGTAAACCTGCAGAGGGTGAAACTGTTGTTGATGTGAATCTACAAATACAACAGACAAACAAAACTACTTCTGGAGCTGTGCAGGTCAACGAAGTGCTGCTCAAGGGAAAGGGTAGGGGAAATGAAACTCAAGGGGTGGTGTATTTGGCAAGCAAGAAAGGAGAAACAGGAGGAACTTGGACAGCAGAGACAGTCAAGGAAGGAAATGAAGGGGTTGAGACTGCCACGGAAAGACAACAGCCAGGCACAGGAATTGAGTCCAGCTGGAATGGCTGGGGTGCTGATTCTGCTATTGAAGAATGCTCTAATATCGAGATAGAACGTGACCTACTGATGTCCAGCCAAGGAGGAGGTTGGCACATGCAAGCGGATGCAACTTCTTCAGCACGGGACAGCTTGAAGGTATCCACTCAAAGTGAAATGAATGGTGTCATGAAAAATCACGTTGAAGTGTCGGACCCGATGGTTTTGGACATGGGCCTCTCTGAAGAGGTAACAAACAACGAAAACATTGGCGCAAGAGAAAAATGCAACCCGTTGGATTGGGCAACTAAACAGTCTGGTGTGATGGTAATGATGGTGGGCAACAGTAATGATGGAAATTCTGCTGACAATAACATCAACCATGAGCATGACAAAGAGGCCGATGTAGATGGAGAGGCTGACGATATAGTGGAGAGATTGGGTAGGACAGTTTCCAAAGCATTGCTATTGTTCATCGTTCCCCACCTAAGCGAGGAAGGCTTCAAACAATCGGAGGAGAAGGTCCATGGTGAGGTCCTGAGAGTTTCACAATCTCTGACAAGCACCTTGTTGAGCAGGATGAAGGCTGTTAAAAAAAGCATGCATGGTGCATTGGACACTGAGGACAATCATTGGTGCCTTGAAGTTGAAGCCACACTTCGGGATGCTGTGTCCAAGGAAGAGATACTGAGGGATTACGTGCCTTTCGCTTCTATCAGGAAAGCAGTCTTGTCTTCTCTTGTAAGTGTATATCCGACTTCCCAAACTGACCAGCAGACAGCAAAGAGTAACTTTTTGGATGTAGATGAGAAGGTAGTGAAGGAGGGTGGGAATGTAAGTGAGCAGCGCCATTTGGTGCCATCTGCTGTTACTGAAAGAAACGGAGAACGACAACCTCGAAATGGTTCCTCTTCAGGAAATGATGGGAGGCGAGATGGTAGCGCAGACTTTGGTGACTATCGAAGCATGAGAGTGTCTAATAGTGTTTGGGTGATCAATCAAACAGGTGGTGATGGATCTAGTCAGGATGATTCTCCCATTGGTGGTGGCAAGGAAGGGGTAGCGTTTGGGAAAATACGTTTTGTAGAAATGGTTGAAGCAAAAGAATCTGGCGGTGATGGGGGATGGAATGGTGGAGGGGACGGGAAAGGTGTTCGGGATGATGATGGGGATGATCCAGGGGGCAGTGAAGGCGACGAAGGGGAGGGAGTGCTTGTTGGATGGGCAGTAAAAGCAAGAAAGGTCGCTGCACCCATTCTACCAATGAAGCAAGGAGCACGGGTGGGAGAAGCCGAGGTCGACCATGATCGGTATGTGTGGTATGGATCCTGGGATGTTCATGTCTCTGGTTGCAGTTGATCAACTGTGTACCTGGCCATCCGAACTCAGTGTTGTATGTCCTATGTGATCTGTTGAGATGGTTGCTACTACCTGTGCCAAGCCTGCTCACCTTTCTGATGGTGCATCTCATTTTCATCCATACATTGACAACATACATTTGTCTATTTCTCCTAACCCGATTTGACCGTGCATATTGCACATGCAAGTTATGCTATGCACAGAGCACTGTATGACGCACATGATGTACACTGCGCACAATTGTATTAGAGAATCTCAAATTTCAAAATCCTTCTCCTTTATTTTTGGTTACTCATCGAGTTGCAAAATGTGGGTATGTGATGCAAAATGTTATAATTTTTGGCGCGTTGTGCCATTCTTTTGTGCAACTCACACCAGGCTGCAGGCACACATGTTATGATCCTGGCCAATTTCAAAGTACACATTCATCAGAAAGTACAATGCTGTCCAATTGCAAAAGAAATGAATGAACTCGAGAGGAGAGAGAGGGAAAGAAGAAGAAGAAGAAGAAAGAAAGAACAAGAAGATGTACACCCGCAAAGACCAATGCGAATTCCAATCTTCTTCGCCAACCACTCTCCTCCTCCTTATCTCCTCCCCTCTTATTCAAACAAGAAATAATAATAATAATGTTGAATGGCTGAACCAGAATCAATGTCTGAATCCCTCTTCTACGGCAGGTATCACGTGAGGTCCACCATAGCCATGGCCACCCGTCTTCCTCCTCCTTCCACGGCTGAGGCTATGGCAGACTACCAGGGCACTGCCCTGCTGTGCAAAGGACAACACAAAGCAGCTATGTCTGCTCTAGCTCCGGCTGTTGACCTGATCCAACGACTGTTGTTGGTTCTTTACCGTGTCGTTGAGGCTATGGATGTTTGCGTTTATTTGC